TGTGCAAAGCACAAATACTAGTAGTAAATAGGTTTTGGCAGTCCCCCATTGATAATATGAAAATATAGTACTGTAAGTAGTACTCCGGAGTATCATGTAAAGCATCAACATTACTGTAAACGTTAACTGTAAACCATACTTTGACATTTGCATACCAGTTACTCCACCTAACTTCGTATACTGTACGTATGGTACCTACTAGTCACTTTGGTGTGGCTATGTATAAACACCAAAGGGAACCGGTCCTCGGACGGGGTGTTCTCGAGATTATTCACCATCGTTCACGGTAAACTCAACATGCCCCCGAGTCCGCTGAATCATCACCACGACGCTCATATTCCATTTTGATAGGATGTTGTGGTGGTCGCTTTTTCACGTAATGGCTCCAGTACTGTAGCCTGCCTGGTCCTACAGGTATCAATAGAATTTCGACCAGTCGGAAGTGATGTCGATGTCGCTCGGGCCAAGATCATTCAATTCGACACTGACCAATTGAAACGACAACGCAAATTCTAAATGTCCCCTTCACTGGCTTTGTGGCAACACCACATTGACACGTTCGGGTCCCATCGTACGCGTATCGATTGCGCTGTGGCCCACTGGCCCACCTTCAAGCACTGCATTATCGCCGCAAAATCATCGCGTTCCCCCCCCCTTTATCTCCGCTCATAAAACCCACATCATGTGTTTCCCAAAAGGCCTAACCCTAAACTCTTTTACCCCGGAATATCACGATTTATATCAAATAACCCCCGTTTACCCCCAGGTAAACCCTAAAACGATGCTATGCGCGTAATCATTTCCAGTAATGTTCCGATAAAATGGGCTGCGCCTTTATTAGTACCAAAAGACTTAGGACCACTCTGGCTGCCACAAAAAATGTCAGAAAACACCTCGTTTTGCAACTTTTCAGAAATATTACGACAATTTTTCAAACGGCAGCTTTTGTGTGTTTGGCTACCAAAGCTGACATATATAAAGTGACATGATAATTCCAATTTTTACTGTTTTCTGATAGAAGAAAGTTTGAACTGCAACTGTCCAAATTTTACCCACTACGTAGTACATGATATTCTATCGATTGTTCTCATCATCCAGAGGTAACATCAAAACATTTCGAAAATATTTTCTTATCTCCCATTTGCAAAGGGAATTCTCAGTCAGAATATTATTTGACATAAAAATTTCTGTGGCATCCAGACTCGGCCTTATACTTCGAGTACGATTTTGGCAGGTTACCCCAGGTATTGCATTGAAAATTTAATGTAAAACTACTGTACTACTACGTAGTATACCTGATGTTTGCGAAATACTAGGACTGTGTGTACGAGTAAACAAATACTGTACTATGCCTGATGTTTCCGAACAACACTAGAGTATGTGTACATGGTACAATTCCTTCATTAAACTACCTAACGTATGCGCTGTACGGTTTCCAGTTCCTTGTGATGGACCACATTCCATGCAGTGCAGCAGGTGGCCATGGTGGTGGTGGTGTGTTCCGGCGGTGTTGTATCTCAACTACTTCAAAACCGATCGAAACCAAAACGTTGGAATATTTAAAGGTAAAAGGCGAAGTGAGTGACAACGAGCCACTCAAACTACCTAAACTCTCAGACCCGATAAAGGGGTAGGTACACTCTACCAATCCATATGGTACTCCAACCACCAAAAGTACCGACCAATGGACGGCAAGGAGCAGACGCCACAGGTCTACTCCTTTCCGTCTCAGTAATTCGAACCGAATACATCTCTTCCCCCACGAGTTACTTAACCTCGTAAGCAACGGCAATCTTCTTGATTACGGCGGACGTGGCCGCCTTGCAGAAAGCCTTGAACATCACGGGTAAATCGGCGAAGATGTTGTTGGCGGGCTTCCACGAGTTCTCCGCGTCTTCGAGTCCGCGCCACTTGATTAACAGCTCGTAAACGTTGGTCGTGGGGACGTACCGTGCGTCCACCATAGCCTCTACCTCGAAGCCTCCTGAGTTCTGGGCGACGTGGGCCAGCAGCTCGGACGTCACGTCCAAGTCACAGTCCGCGTAGAATTTTAGGCGGCTGGTGTGGACGGGGCGAACGTCGTGAGTCAGCAGGTTCTCGACGTCGTACACCCAGTTGCTGGTCACCTCGGTGACGACGGCCGGGTCGCACCACTTGGTCCGCAACTTCTGGCGCAAGTGCGCCCATACGTCCTGGTAGAGGACATAGTCCCCCACTACGAACTGGGCCATCTGCACGCCCTTCTTCTTATCGTGGTATTGCCGCGAGCGGTCTCGCTTCCGTGCGTTTTCCACCGATATCTGTATGTGCATTGCTTCCAGCGCGGCAATGTTCTCACGTTGACCTTCTTCCACCTCGGCCAGCGTGGCCGAGATGAGCTGAACCGGCAACGGGCCATCGTGTCAGCCGGCGACATTGCCGGACGGCCAGACATGGCGTTCATGGGAGCCATACCGCCGAGGGAAGGTGAAGGCAGCTGGTTGAGCACGAGCATGATGACGAGGTAGGCCTTGGGTCACTGGTCGGGCGCCATGCGCCACTCGCTCAGACATGCCTGGAATAGACGCAACAACTGCCGCATCACGACCTCCACTGTGCCATTCGCCCATGGGCAGCGGGCAGTCGTGAAGTGATGATGAGCCCCCAGCACGTGCTGGAGCTCCGCGATAACTTGGTTCTTGAAATGGGTCCCCTGGTCGGAGACCCACTCGTAGCACACGGCGAACCACTGCAGGAGGCAGTACTTGACGAACGTCGCCGTGGCCTCGGGAGCCGGAAAGAACCAAACCATCTTGCTGGCGTCACACTTGACTACCAGCAGGTACTTATTGCCTCGTCACCAGCGGCAAACACCCCCTCCAGCATCTCCGTCAACGGCTGCACCAACACGTTGTACCCGGGGATGCTCATGCGCATCCAGTTGATGGCGCACATATACTGCTGCAGGTCAGCACCAGTCACGGGGGACAGCAGCTGTTGGAGTGCCTCAACGCGGGCGGGGTCATGCTTGACCCCAGTCCCACTGATGATGCGCCCGCATCACCTGGCCTCGGTCACGTAGAAACTGCATTTTTTTCGGGTGCAGCTTCAGACCCTTGTCAGCGCACACAGCCAACACGTCCGCCAGCACACCCAACAATCCCTCGCGGGTACGATGGTACCCCAAGAGGTCGTTCAACCAGGCCAACGGGCCTTTGTACAACTGCTCAGAGAACATCTCCTCCACTGTCGACTGGCAGTACGATACGCTGTCACTGTAAACATGAGTTCATCTCCAGGGGCAACAGCTCCTCCTCTTCCTCGGCCAGGTCATCCACGAGCTCGTGGGACACGGCCAGCACGGCCTGTACGACCCCGCTGTGCGAGACCGCGTCGGCCATGTCGATCGCATCGGTGAAGGACGCGGCCTCACGCAGCATGGCGCGTGGGTCGAACCCCAACTTATACATGATGGCGCGGCTCAACAGGATGTCGCCGACGTTGGCGGGCAGGTTGCCCGTCGACACCCAGCACTTGACATTCGTGAGCATCAGCGGGCCGGCGTCCTTCTCGAACCGCAGGTCCATCGTGGCTTCCTCGGTGACGGTGTGGGCAGGGCCAACAAAAACCATTACCTTAATGGGGGTCTTGAGCTTGGTCACGAGGACGTTGCGGCCTTGCTTTTTGAGTTTGGCCAGCGTCGCGGGATGCACCACACTTTGATCGGCGCTGCTGTCGAAGGACGCGTCCAGCGAGACGGCCTGACCAGCCACACACACAACGCGGGCAGCGCAAATCACGGCATTGTCGAGGGACACCTCGGCAACGTCAACCGTCTCGACGACGGTTACCGACTTGGTTTCTTTCCAGATGGAACGGACACGTTCCATCAAGAGCTTGGCTTCGCCGTCAGCGACCTTAGGGCACTTGAACACATTGTGCTCGGTGCTCAGGCACTTGAAACACGCACGTTTCTCTTGGGTGAAGTTCGACTACGGGATCTTGTCTTCTTTCACGACGGCCACGACCTTGGGGGCCTTCCCAGTCTTGGGGGTCTTGGTCGCCGCGGGCAACTTGTCGGGCTTGGCGGTGGCGGGTACCGCCGCGGCCATCGAACTCGCCGTAGCGACGCAGTCCGCCGGCCAGCGCTTGAAATCGCGCGCGTCCTTCTTGAGGCTGCGGTTCTCGTTCAACTTCATGAGTTCCTTGACACGGGCGCGCACGGCCAGTGGCTGGACGGCCGCGACGAGATAGTCGACAGTTAGTTTTGGCTCGGCCTCCGCAAACCCTACCATTGAGAGGCGTACGAGTACCGCCTCGAAACCAATTTGGACACCCGGGACTCCGC